CGCTGATGGATCAGATTAACATCGTGGTCGAGGCTGTGTAACGTGTCCAAAAGCTGATTGTTATATTTTGTCTAATTTTCGTTTATTTTATTAAATTTAAAAGACTCAGTATATAAGTTTAATATTTGTAAAAATTTCTCAAACAGTTACAGCTGCAAACTTCCTGATAAAACAACCGTTAAATATGTTAAATGTCGGTCAGATAGCTCAGCGGGCTGTGCGGCTGCCTCTCATTCGCTTCACTGTCGAATGGTTTAGTGGATGTGGGTCGAGCCCCAGCTCGGTGTACAGAAAATAAAAAGTCTAACGCAGCAGTTTAAAATTCTAGATGAATCTGCGGCTTAGACTAGGATATGCTGGGTTCTGATCGGCCTATGGTGGAGCAGTACGGCAAGAGATAAGGGCTTGCGGCTCGGTGATACTCCTCCATAGATCCCTACCGGACGGGCGTAACGCCTAAAAAACCGGATATATATATATATATATATATATATATATATATATATATATATATATATATATATATATATTAATAAAGTATTCAACTAGTGAATTCAGAGGTTTATTCGGTCAGTCAGGTTGGCAAAATAAAAAACAGAAGTCAACTACTTCATAAGTTTATCGAAGACGTTTCGCTTTATATTTCTAAAGCTTCATCAGTTCTCTAAAATACAAAGATGACATAGAGTTTATAAGAAATACAGATCTAATAATTAATTACTTACAACTCAATATGTAGTATTAAAGATGTTATCGTATATGTACTTAAGTTTACTCATAAATTTAGAACTAACTTAAAAAAAAATTTAAACAGAAATATGCAAAAAATAACATTCGCAGAAACGAAGATTTACAAAAACTTCAAACGTACATTTGGCTTCATTTAGAGATGGTTCTCCAATGAAGACAAACAAAACACTGATTTATTGCAATCTACGCAAAACGACGTGGCGCGATACCGAAAATGTTTTTCAAGGGCCATATATATATATATATATATATATATATACCTTCGATGACCCTTTTTAAAAAGTTACTGCTTAGATGCTATCATAAAATGCTGTTATGTCTGAATTCTGTTTACTTCGATAGACCTAGCTATCTTCTTCTTCTTAGGGTGCCTGTCCGTTCCGAACGTTGGCGAGTATTCTGGCTATGATGACTTTGTTGGTTGCTATACGAAATAGCTGTGTTGCTGTCTTTCTATACCATGCCTCAGGTTAGCAAGGCTGGAAATTCTTCTTCGTCCTGGGGCCCTGTTTCCTTCAATTTTACGTTGTAAAATGCATTGAAGTAGCTCGTATCTGCCTTGATTTCTCATTATATGTCCCAAGTACTGCAGCTTATGACCCTTCACGATGTTGACCGAATCCGCAGTTCTATCTGTTTCGACTAACTTGCCGATGTGACTTTGGTTTGCAAATATTCAGACAAGCCGCATAATGTATCTTAAAGAATTTTTCGAAAAATATCTCTTTGAGACCACCAAAGTGTTCTAATATTTTCATTTAACGTTGGAAACGGTATTTTACCTAGGAGATTTTCAAAAGGCATACCTTTTCAATCGTATTATATATTTCCGTTGTGCTTTCAGATGTAAAAGACGTTCGACTGTGTTTTCGAGACCCCGGTTAAGGCTAAGATATTTTTTTATACCTTTTTTCTTTATATTTGTATCTTTTGCCTCTTTTCATATTTGACTTTGTATGTTTGCCATATTTAGGGTTCCAGATTGTCCTGTTGGGAATCCAAATTTATCCCTATGGGAATCCAAGCTTCTTCCATTTTTTGAAGTGACCTATATCAAATTAGGAATCTTAAGTTCCTCTTCACTACCGCAGCATGCCTCTGACCCCAACCCATATTCATAAGGAATTTAACTGTGCCGAAGACCACATTTAGATAATCTGATTATAGGTTATTACTCCAGTCCTCAGAGACGAAAATGCCGAACCTCTAAAAATCATACGAACAAGCTAAATTTTGCCAAGAATATTAATTTTAGGACCCCAAAAAAGCTGCAAAAAAGTTTACCACTTCCCTCCGGCCTTCCCCCTGAAACACACCTTGTAGGGGGGTACAAACGCAAAAAATTTGATTTATGGAGAATCCGTACGCCGTAGAAAAAATGTTAAATCAAAAATGTAGCTGAGATAATTTTAAACAAACATATTTATTAAAACTCTTTGTGTAGAATGAACCGTTCTCTCACAAACAACGCTTAAAACGACCGTCAATTTCGAATGTCAGTTACGCGCGTGAAATCAATGTTCAATAAAATTTGTGTCAGCTCGACGGTAAAAATTCGATATCTTTTGAGTGCTCTTTCGACAAAAATCAAGATGCGTTTTAAAGGTAAAGAGTTCAGCTTTTGTATGGAATTTTTGTATTTTCTTGAAAGTAAACTTACATTTTATAAAGGTGTTAAATAAATAAACGTAAAGCGGTTTTTTATGATTCTCATGCGATCAATACTTTGATTCAAAAATTTCGATTCCTAGAACCTAAAACGTTTAAAACTTTTTTTTTATTTACCTGGTATGTTTTTCAACACAACCAAACTTCTTCTATAAACTACACTCAAAACCGTCTACTTAGAGGCATTTTCCGTGACGTGTGATCTTAGTACATTGCAGATGACTTCTGGAATAATTAGACACATTTCATGCCTAATTCTATCTTTTAAGTCGTGTAAGTTTTGGGGTCTATTGACATAAACTTTTGATTTTATGTAATCCCACAGGAAAAAGTCTAGAGGTGTTAGATCTGGCGACCTTGTTGGCCACTCTAAAACCTCGTCTTCCGATCCACCTCCTGGGAAAGCAATGATTTAAAAATTGACGTATTTCACGTGCGTAATGCGAAGGGGCTCCATCTTGTTGCAACCAGATATTTTCACCAGGTAAACTTGGATTATTGGCATTTGGATACATGTTAGCAAGGACAGGTATAAGTTGATTTCTCAAAAAAGTTGAATAACGTTCTCCTGTTAGATTTTCTTCAAAGAAAAAAGGGCCAATGATTCTGTCATTAATGATCCCTGCTCATACAATTACTTTCTGAGGATATTGCGTGTCTAACTCAGTCATCCAATGTAGGTTTTCTTGACTCCAATATCTGCAATTTTGAGGATTCACGGTACCGGGTATAAAAAATGTGGCTTCATCGGAAAAAATGATTTGATTGATGAAATGTGGATTGCGGATACATAAATCCTGCCTAATTTCAGAAAATTGAAGTTGGCGATCGGGATTGTCGTCGTTTAATTCCTGATTTAGTTGAATTTTGTAGGGATGGTATTTTTCTTTTTTTTTAATACGTAATACCGATCGATTGGAAACTCCAGCATATTCACCCATTTGTGTTGAACTACTGTGAGGATTGTCATGTGCATTTAATAAAATATCAAGGTTCACATTGTCAATCACAATTTTAGGACGTCTAGCGTTTGGAATATGTTTAACGTGCCCAGTTTCTCCAAATTTTCGGACTATTTTACTTACTGTTGATTGGCTGATGGGAGTGTCTGGATATTTTGCGTTGAGTGGTGTTGAGTGGCCAGCAAGGTCGCCAGCTCTAACACCTCTAAACTTTTTTCCTGTGGGGTTACATAAAATCAAAAGTTTATGTCAATAGACCCTAAAACTTATAGGACTTGAAAGATAGAATTAGCCATGAAAGCAGTCTAATTACTCCAGAAGTCATCCGCAATGTACTTGATGAATCTGTCCGTAAATTCGCATATTGTCAAGAAACCGATGGATGGCATTTCGAACATTTAATTTAAAATAATTATTATGCATAATTTGGTTACTTTAAAGTACATTAATAATTAAATCATTAGTTGTAATTTAGTTGAATTTAAATTTTAAAAAATTGTTTTTGTAACCTTAAAAAATATTTTAGTTAAAAATGTAATGTCGTTAAATAGTGAATTCAAATGAATTAGGTGTCACATTATACCGATTCCTATTTAAAAAAATAACGATTACGTCACTACACCCACAACACCGGTGACGTCATCCATACTCCATGTACGTTATAAGATAGGTATTTTATAACAAATGTCGACCTGTTTTGGGATTTCCCTCAAAACTCGACGGTTCTCGAAATAACAACAATATTCCATAATTTAGCCGTTCAATTATTATTTATATACACTGTCATACATGGGTACATACTTTTTCAAGATCTATTAAAGCTACATGTTTATTCTACATATGTACATTATGTAAAGCTATTAAACAATGCCATGTTTAATGTTAATGTATTATCTGAGGTATATCTCCCTGCGCAAAATCATGCTTGTTCTTCCGATTGTTTATTTATAGTGTCTTCCTCGAGAAAGGTCTAAAATGAAGCTCAAAATTCTAGAAGTATTCATGATTATTCTAGAGTAAATTCTTCCTACCGTTGGTATACTGCTATGCTATTGTAGTTATTTGGGTCGGTTTTTGTACCATTTTACCATTTTTGTGTATAGGCGAAATATAAGACTGTCTTTTTCTGGAATATCCTCTCCGTTTTGACTCTGGAAGTCTTTGGAGCATTTCTAGTAATTTTAGTAATTTCACTAATAAAAATAGATCCACCTTTTAAAACCAATGAAGAATCTGAGTGATTCTTTACGAATGTTACATATAAGAGGAGTGATTATTATTCTGGATAGAATGTAAGACCAATATTGTCATCGATTATAATAAGGCTGATCTAATCTTAAATAGGATTACAATTGACTTATTTTATTTAATCTGCCCTTGTGTTTGTTTTTAAAAACCTATTAGTAGAGTTTTTAAAATAATGAACTTAAGTTTAACCTTAAGCGTATTTGATTATATTTTCAACACTTCATATAACACCTCCGCCAAAAATGTGCGAAATCATTCCTCCTACAAAAAACTGGGTTAAATGACTTCTTATCAGACACGATCAAGGAAACTGTATTATCTTATCCAAATTATTGTGTTTACATTTATTTTTAAAACACTTCTTCATTGTAGGTTAGTTCAGAGTCTGACAGACCAAACCAAACCTGAAAGTACAAAACCTCCGATGGAATCTACGGAAGCTCAGGAGGCCATTCCTAAAGCGTTTAACTTAAATGAACAAATTAATTTAAGGAGTACGGAAAAAACGAAACAGGTACGTACATATTTCAGTACAAGTTGTTATGTCTATCGATTTTAATATCAAGGTCTACTGGTTGCATGATGACAGTTTTTAATAATATTGCATCTTGATATTATTTACTAGTTTTGACAATTTTTGATGAATTTCTTCTAGATTCGTTTAAATATTTTGAAATGAATACTTTATCTCTCGGTGAGATATTTTGCACGGACTCGAAAAATCGAAACGAGTGTAGTAACCTTGCGGTATACTGTAATATACCGGGTGGTCCAATAAGCCGATCTCTCGCCTATATATCAAAAACTATTCATGTTATAACTTTAGAAGAAAAATTCTTTAGTAAAAGTGGCCAAGAGAAATCGCTGGAAATAACTTTCAAGTTTCTGGGTTAACCGCTAGGGGGCGTAACCTGTGAAGAAAACTTTGAAAACCAGTTTTTTGGGAAATATTCCCAATTATACCAAGTGTTAAATAAGTAAACTAGAAAGAGGCCAAAATTCTGCACAAAGTTGTTCAAGTACTTTTTTTTATTTTTTCAGATAAATTGTGGGGAGAGTGGCAAAGTATTTGTGGATAAATACCTATAACTTTGGTTTGGATCAACCGATTTTAACGAAATTAGTGTCATTAGAAAGAGTGTGGATGAAATAATTTACAACTACTGCACGTAATTGCATTTAGTTTTAATTGTCATAGGTAGAGGGTACTTTCGAATAGAAAAAATTAAAATTTGTTTTTCTTTAAAATTTTTAATAAACACCTATTTATTGTAAATTTTAATAAAACTGGATTAAATTCGTAACAAAATGGCGCAAACCGTATGTCAATTGCTTTTGTCGAACTCGAGATATGAATATATAGTATTGAGTCACCCTGTATTATAAATTAATTTAAAAAATAAGTCTAGCTACTTTCAAATTTTTATATAGTAGAAGAATCCTAATGTTGATACCTATTTTGACCATTGTTATTTCATATGATTAAAAATAGTTTTTTCGAAACTAAGTAGGCTACCACAATGAATTTGACAGGGAGTTCATATTGTTTATTTATTGACAGAAGTCAAGACACTGTTAAGAAGTGCAATTATAATTCAAATTGAAGATTGTACTTTTTAATTCGATATTAATATTGGTAATATTATTAATTAATTATCAGTACTAATAATTCATGATGAGTATATCAAATGCAGAATTGTATGAAATGATTGGAGTTTATTTCGAATGTCACCAAAATGCCGCTATTGCCTCACGTATATATTCTGTAAAATATCCTGACAGGAGACAATATGGAAAGAAGTATTTGAAAGAAAAGCAAGAAGATTAAGAGAAATCGGTAGTTTTCATCGTCCTTGTTTTAAACGACGTAGTAGAGATATGACCGAAGACAATTCAATCAATGTTCTTGCTTTAATTTAACAGAATCCACATCCTAAGTAGGTTCATCACAGGTTGGTTTTTCATATTATAAAGTAAACGTTTAGGTCAGAAACTTGGAATTCCCTTTAAACTTTAGATTCAACTGTTATTTTAAAATTCCGATAAAAACGGCAACACGGCGCTTTTATCCTGTTATCCGTTTCTTAAAAATACTTATGCACGATTTATCTTGTGAACAATTGTGGAATTTTCAAGTTTTGTTGAGTTTTAGCAAATATAGTGGTTTCTTTTTTACCAATATTTGTTGTTCTGTTTTTTAGACTGCATCCTTATCATGTAATTCTCCGACAAGCTTTACATGAGAGAGATTTTGATGCAAGGCTGTATGACTGCAATTGGATGTTAGGTCTGCTAGAAGAACAACCGCATATCATGTCAAAGATTTTGTGAACAGACGAGGCTACGTTTAATAGTACGCGTGGTGATAATCTGCATAATATGCATTATTTAACTGAAGAAAATTCGCGCTGGATACATGAGGTGCAGGTTCAAGGTAGATGGAGTCTTAATGTTTGGTGTGATATAGTTGATGGAAAGATCGTCCATATTTCTTTGATAGAACTTTAAATGGCGAAACATATTTGGATTTTCTGGAAAATCAGTTGCCTGTTTTATTGGAAGATATTTCCTTACAAACAAGAAGATATATGAGATTACAATATGACGGGTGTCCTGCACACTTTTCCAGACGAGTTCGAGATTATTTGTATGCAAGTTATCCAAATAAATGGATTGGAAGGGGAAGTATATTTTCATGGCCAGCTAGATCTCCAGAATTAACATGTCTGGAGTTTTATCTATGGGGAAGATTAAAGGACTTAGTGTACCAAACTCGACCAACCACGCGAGACGACATGAAACGGCGCATTATAAACGCAATAAATAGTATATCAACAGCTGAGATTGAAGCAGCTGTTATGTCTATGCGCGAAAGATTACATCTTTTTGTGGACAACGATGGAAAACAATTTGAACATTTAATTGGACAATAAGTTTTAATGATCGAGATATTTGTATGATCTTTCACATATTTAATTTTAAGTTATAATAAAGGGTGAGTCAATACTATACTTACTTATGTTTATGCGTTTTTATTCATATCTCGAGTTCGACAAAAGCTATCAATATGCGGTTTGCGCCATTTTGTTACGAATTTAATCCAGTTCGTTATAATTTACAATAAATAAGTGTTTTCATTTAACATTTTGAAGGAAAACAAATTTTAATTTTTTCTATTCGAAAGTATCCTCTACCCATGCCAATTAAAACTAAATGCAATTGTTTTATAGTAGATTTAAATTAAATCATCCACACTCTTTCTAATGACATTAATTTTGTTAAAAGCGGTTGATCCAAACCAAAATTATAGGTATTTATCCACAAATACTTTTTCACTCTCCCTCACCCTTTATTTGAGAAAGTAAAAAAAATTACTTGAACAACTTTGTGCGGAATTTAGGCCTCTTTCTAGTTTACTTATTTAACAATTGGTATAATTGTGCATATTTCACAAACAACTGGTTTTCAAATTTTTTTTCACAGGTTACGCCCCCTAGCGGTTATCCCAGAAACTTAAAAACTGTTTCCAGCGATTTCTCTTGGTCACTTTTACTAAGGAATTTTTTCTCCTAAAGTTGTAACATGAATAGTTTCTGATATATAGCCGAGACATCGGCTTATTGGACCACTCGGTTCATAATATACAACAATAGGCACTTATTATAATTTTATATAATATATTTTTTTATAACCATTCCAGAACGACTGGATCGATTTGGCTAATTTTTATTTTAAAATATTTATATGAAATTAAATAAAATAAATTAAATAAAATTAATAAAATTGTATAAAAATAAATAAAATTATCAAAAATTGTAACTAATTATATAACAAAATTTAAAAATGAAATAAAATGATAATAAAAAAATAACTAAATACAATAAAATAAAATAAATTAAAATAAATAAAAGTTTATTTTATAAATTTTATAGTCGTTTTTAAATAAGTATTTACAAATGGAAAGTTTTAATGAAAATTAATTATTACACATTATTCATGATTCTTTTTAGAATATAAGGTGAAGTGGGTTATCTGTGGACGGAATATAAAAAGTTTTATTTTGAAGTTACTTATAAAGTTAGTAAGCTTTCAAACCACTTTCTTTTTGCTTGTAGATATGTATTAGGAATCTATTAATATGTTCTCTTGAATAGAACATGAAATATGAATTGAGAGAGAAGAGTATTGACATTCTTCTTTCACATGTAAGGGTCCACAGTTACCCGTTAATTTAAGGTAACTGTGGACCCTGACGGGGAGACTGTGGTCTGCTTGGTGAACTTTACTTTGTAGTTATTATAATGAAAGATGTAACTGTGGTTTAAAATAAAAGCAACATTAAAAATGCGGAAACGAAAATTTTTATTAAAAACCATGAAACAACAAACAGCTAGGCAATATTTTTGAATCCCCTTAAATCCTCACAAAACGTAATGACGATTTCATCTTCTGATTTTGTGTCGTTCAGTGTTTCTAATATCTTATCATAAGCGAACAAGAGAGACTCGTTTTCCTCATGAAATTTGAAGGCATTTTCCACACATCGTTTCAAACATTTGATTATCACGACTCTTGTCACTGCATTAATTTGACATATTAGTCCAATCGAATGAGTAACTGCTTGTTTATTTATTTGTACCACGATGTATTTCCCTGGTATTATATTATCGTCAATGGGTTCTTAAACATGAGGTTCAGCACCTTCTTCCATATTGTTATGTGGAGCTTCATATGAGTCATCACTCTTTGCATAAATGACTTCTTCGGAACTCTCATCGTCACTACTTAATTTTCATTGTTTCTTGAATGTATTCTTCGAAGCTTTTGTCATAGTTTTTGATAACTGTAGGTGTTCTAAATATGTTTTAGTTGTGATCACCTCAGCAACATCTACTCTTTTCTTCTTCCTTTGATGTAGCTTAGGAGAAGGTTTCACTGTTGCTAGTAGAATGTTCTCCCAGGATGCAATGGAAGTTGATGCAATGCAATTCTGGCTTTCCGTAGCTGCAAGATGTTGTACATGGAATCGTAGTTTTGCTTACCCGTAGAACTTTCCTCGTCAGTGATAGTGTAGTTTCTCTTCATAATATCGTTTTAACTTTTCGGGATCAAACTTTTCTTTGTTAACGAAATCTCAATTTAGAGAAAAAATACCTGTTTTTCTAAAACCATTCACCACAACAGGTTCTCGAATACTGCGCCAAGCTTTTCCCAAAAGGTTGGAAAATTCGCATTTTGTTAGCTGTTTTCCTAAACTTTGGCGCTGTCAATCTGTTAACAAAGCATTCCATGAAGACTTCAGCCCCTTGAAGACAGATACATCCAAAGGCTGTAATATTGCAGAAGTATGTGGTGGTAATTTAAGAATAGTCACATATTCTGCCATGGAAAACGCAATTAGTTCGGGTGAGATGTGCGATAAATGACCATCGTAAATCAAAAGAGCAGGCCTTTCAACGCAATTTTTCAAAAAACATTTTTGAACTATAAAAAAATACTTGTTCATTCATCCAA